TTAGTCGTTTCTGAGAAATCTGCGAAGTATACTTACCACACTCTAAACTGGAGACAATTATGTACCGGGATAAGGAACAAATTTAGAGCAGTCGTGACCCTGTTCTAGGGATGTGGGAAATCACTTTCAGCAAACTAACTGCACGAAGGTGCAATATTGTCGAGTCATGGTCGACCACCGCTTTGCGGTGTATAATAGACTCACCACATCAATTGAGCTAAAATCAGGAACTGAATTACGTCTTTTATCTTATAGGAAGTATACCTAAGGCTATATCTTTAATAGTAAATTGCTTTAACGTTGTGCTGTATGTGCAGGTTCTTTTATGGATTTTTTTCTATGGATCACTTACCATCACAACGTCTACTTACCGTCAGTTGCACTGTATCCGTTTGTCACCATTAGTCTATAAAAAAAAACTTGTATTTAAATGACACTGAAAATAAATGTATAAAATTCATAACTTAAAATTGTAAAAATTTTAGTACTAATGTGATTTTAAATTGTTATCTTGTTGACACCACCATTCTTATTGAAATCACTCTAGACGTGAAGCTTCAATGAGGTCATTATTGTATATTGTCTAAACAAGCAAGCAGACTTAGTTCTGTATGCTGAAATAAAGTAAGAAATATCACGAGCGTTTAAACAGCTGGACTATTTTATTTTAACTACTCCCATAACATTATTTTGTACGGTATTTTGATATGGGGAAACGCGATAGACACTAAAATTACATTTTTTGCAGAATATAGTCTTAAGAGCCTACGATTTAAAAGCTAAAAATCCCCTACATTTATGTAATGATTGTAAACTGTTCTTTTTCTTTAAATTTTGGGCTAGATTTCTTGCAGACTCCTTCCAGAACAAAAGTATTTCCGAACCAGTAGTGAATTAAATATAAAAATGACTTTCAATAAGCATTATTTATAATCTACTAGCGATTTTTTGTGCGATTTGGGTGATTTGCGGATATTAACAACGGCGCCACCTATCACGTCCAAATCTAAACCATCTAGGAACTCATTCAAACACACCAAAAATTCAGCATAATCGATTGAGCTGTTTTTGTGTTATAGCGAGGCTAGCGGACAACAATCGATTTTTATATTTTTATTTCTATTGCTGCAAAAGTGACACAGCGGAAAAGAACATAGCAGGCTAGAATTTTGAGTTTTTTATTTATTTACAAAAGTAATAATATCTACAAAGATTTTACATGACCTATAATTATAGTATTTAATGGTGTAATGATAACGTTATTTTGTGAGAGATTGGTAAACTTACCAGTGATAATTACGCGCCCAATCAACTCCAAATTACTAACACACAAATGTACGTACGTGCGTAATTTTACATATTCCTTAAAATTTCTATTATATTCCATAATATAATAAAACTAACAAATGAGCATACAGTGCACGTGATGGTAAGTGGATGCTGTGGCCTATAATAGACCTCTACATCTATCCTCGATTAACAATCAAAATGCAAATGCGTTATCACCTTTGAGGACTAAGATGGAATGCCTATTTTCCAGTAAAAAGTCTCCAATTCCCTAGACACTCCATACGAAACACAACATTTAGCATTAATTTGCTTTTTTACGTTGGTATTTATTAAAACAGACATCAAATTGCACTATTTTTGTCTCAAAACGTGACAATATATTAAAGTTTTATTTCAAAAATCAGAATGATTACAATTTTAAATTAGAAAAATTAATTATTTGAATACAAATTTTAGAATGTACGTAAAAGTAAAATTAATGGTCACCATGGAATGTGGCAACACGCAATCACGTTTCACGTAGCAGCGTTACACAAAATTGCTCCGTTTGTTTTCGCTTGGTGTCGAAACCGACCGTTAGCCATCTCCCATTGACCGTGACCTCAAGTAAACAGAATTTAATGCTTTAGGACATTGTGACACTTTGTTTTACACTAGATGGAGTAACGTGTAGTGGCGGTGTAAGGATTTTCACTATCATATATCGTCCCGTGGCTCTCGTAAGAGGAAAAGTGTAACAGGTGAGGGGCAGCAGCATCTTTCTGATAACTGCTCAAAATAATAAAAAACTGCGGTTGCCAACACGTCTGCTAATCGTGACTGAGAGGCCTTTGGCAATATCAGGAGGATTTTGTTATGCCATGAGGGAATCATTAGGGGAGGCCTGTATTCAGGAGTGGCTGTAATGAATGGATGGATTGAGATGGAGTGACGATCAAAAGTTGCAGAAAGTCCATAGATGCAAGGGGCTAACTATTTTTCCATCACCATAATTATTGTCGTCATCATCTTCATCATAACATCCCTTTATATGTTCACTGCTGATTATATCCCCTCTCCAAAGTACCACATGGGTTCTTAACCACCAGCATTCATCACTACTCCATCTAAAAGGTGGCTGTCCTATATTATGCTTACCGGTACAAGGTCATTACTTTGAGAACCTTTCTTCCACATCCAACAATTCCATTGCTACTTCAGTTAACCGATCCGTAAGACTATGTCGGTTACTACGGTTCTACTGTGGATACCCTCATTTCAAACCCACAGCTCGCTGAGCCAGTAAAAAGGGTATCCAGTTCTCTACACTCATCATATGAAACACATTTTACACCATATTTACTGGAAACGAGGCATTCCGTCTCAGTTCTCAGGAGTGATCACAGAAATAAATACTTTTTCATTCAATATAGAGTATAAATATAATAGGTACTTATTGAAAATTACTCTTTTTTTATTTACCACTTGTTCGTAAAAAATTCTTTGTCCTGGGAAGAACCAGCAAGAAACCAAGCGAAGACTTTATAAAATATACACAAATAAAAACACAAAACAAATTAGAAATAGCCTCATAGCGATAACTTTACCCAGGGGTTATTATCATTTATAAACTATTTGATGTTATAATAACCCTTTTTACAAAAACTTTAATAAAATTTCACAAATTTGAGGCGGTCAAATTTTGTATATTTTCTGGAATTTTGTTGTAAAAACGTATACATCGCCCCAAGAATGAAATGACGCGGTGGAGTCGAGAAACTGGTACTACTAGCTTGTACCTAATATTTACAGAATGAATATAACTATTTTTATTTTTGTATTGGTACGTACATACGAGGCCAAAGTTAATATATTAATTACTTTAAGTTTTTAGTTGAGCGACTCTTTAGGTTTTAAATCATAGATTGCTCTTATGGCCCTTTTCCGTAAAACAAATTTAAAGTGTCAGTCGCGTATCTTCATAGCAAAATACCATATGACATTGTGCATATATATATATATATATATATATATATATATATATACTAAAAAAGCCTAGCTGTTTTAACACTGGTAAGATTTCTAATCTTTTTACAGCATCTAATGCAGAACTATAAGTCTGCTTGCTAGTTTTGGTATATGGCCCTATTTAGCTTCGCGTTTGTGTGAATCCAAAAAAAAAAATGGTAGTATCGACAAGGCTCAGCTCCTTCCTATTAAAATTAAATTAGAATTTAGATGTGTGATGATGTCTTAGTGCCTTTTAAATGAAAACATAAAACCAATGTTCTAATTTAGATACAGCATTATTTCATATTTTAGTAATTGTAATTTTAATTTGAAAATTAATGAAATATCATTAGTAAATAATTCTATATCGTGGTAATGTTACTGTGCAATAGATCTGAATTTTGAATTTTGATCAAGGATAAATGTAGATGTCTATGAACGACAGTACCCACTTACCATCAGAATGACTGTGTGCTCGTTTGTCATCCGTATTCTATTAAAAAAGACTGTTGCAATTTACAATGAAGTAAGTACAGGGAGTGGTATAGCCGATTATAAAAGGTACGAAGTTAATAGTATCTAATTTATTAATATAAACATAAACATAAAACATAAACACTCACGCCTGTCACCCAGAGGGGTAGGCAGAGACTACAGACTTCCATTTGGCACGATCCCGACACACCTCTCTCGCCTCCTTCACAGCCATACACCTACGCATACATGCTCGTCGGTTAAGGGTACTCCTAATTTGGCCCGTTTTAATAAATTGCCAATTTGGTCGATAAATTTTCGCCTAGGACTAGGATTTTTCCCTTTCCGACTCTGCCATTCACTTCTGCAACATAAATTTTCTTTGTTACTCTTTCCTCATTCATTCTTTCCACATGACCAAACCACCGAAGCATTCCTTTCTTAATCCTGGTCACAACATCATCTTGCAAACCACACTTTTCTCTTATTACACAAAAATTATTAACGTACCTTATTAAAAAAAAGTTAGTTTATTAAAAAGGAAAAAATGTCCCCCCCCCTCGCTGAATCTAGTTTCATAACTTCGTACCTCTACTATTTTATGCTGTTTTTACGATGCCAGCCGAGAAAGTAATAATAAGACACTTATGATTGTAGCTAACGATTCTATCGGTACCGGCGGGAATCAAATCGGATTGCTCACTTTCTATGAAATTTACTAAGCACTGAGTAAGTCCGAACCGCGGCTAGTTGTAGTATATCTATAATAATCATCTAATAGACAGCCCCAGAGAAGATTTTGCAATATTTACCACACTTGACAGGTTAGTTGGCATCCACAGGTTTTTAATAATTTCAGTATTTAGGAAGATATCGATGTCCAACTCTAGTTTCAGCCTATCACAACACCCACAATATTCTTACACCGCCAAAATACGGCGTTGTTAAACAACACTCTTAGAAAACTTTTGTAGAACACCATTAGAGGTTAACCCGCCGTTGGTCGCGTGGGGCGAATAAACGCCCGTCAAAAAGTTTATTTTCTTAATATTTAAAATACTGATATTATTATCGCATCCAAACTCTAGCTACCTTCCTATAACGACTAAATACGCGACACAAACAAGTGACCATTCAGTATGCGCCGTGCACTTGAACGCTACGGACGTATTTTTCGTGAACGGGTGTCAGTTGACCCCACGCGACCAACGACGTTATAAAAGTGCAATTATTATTAGAAGTACAAAATGAGTTTGTCACAAGAGGAACGTATTAGAAACTGGTTGGAAGAAGATTCAGATGAAGATGTAATTGGTGGGGAAGATGATGAAGAAGGTGGTGATGAAATAGAGCCCCAAATAAGTGAGCACGAAACTGATACAGAAGAAGAATGTGATTCAGAACCAGAAGCTATTACGGAAAATCAGAACATTGGTTCAAGTAGCGAAGATGACGTTCCCTTGTCTCACTTGCAAACTTCACAGTGTTACGTGGTGCACAGAAAATTAAGAAATGGTAGGACTGAAGTAATTTACAGATGGAGGAAGCAACCGCCGCCACCAACATGTCGCACCCGTAGTCAGAACATCGTGACCCATTTGCCAGGACCTAAAGCCATATGTAGAGGAGCAGATACTGCTGAAAAAGCCTGGATATTGCTATTTTCAAAAGAATGGTTAGAAAAGGTTGTTCTTTACACTAATCAGAAAATACAATCGCAAAAATTTAATTATCAAAGAGATAGAGACTCATCTGAAACAGACATGATTGAAATAAGAGCTTTGATAGGTTTATTATATCTCATTGGTCTATACAAATCATCACACGTACGTATCTCGGATGTTTTCAACCCAGATGGGACTGGATTGGATATTTGTAGAGCTGTAATGTCGGTACAAAGATTTAAATTTCTCTTGCGCAATCTCAGATTCGATTACAGGAATACCCGTGACGAGCGAAAGATCGAAGATAAATTAGCGCCCATAAGAGAATTATTTGAAGAGTTTGTACAGGCTTGTCAACGGTGTTATACTGTTGGTGAGTACGTAACGCTGGACGAAATATTAGAAGCTTTTAAGGGAAAGTGTAGTTTCAGGCAATACATGCCTAAAAAATCCGCAAAATATGGCCTAAAAATACAGGCATTGGTTGATGCTCGTTTATTTTATACCCTGAATTTAGATGTGTATGTGGGAGTTCAACCTGCAGGGCTGTATGCTGTTGACAATTCTACGATGGCTATCACAAAGCGAATGATTCAACCAATATCTGGAACGGGTCGCAATATCACCATGGATAATTGGTACACTAGTGTTCCACTAGCTGAAGATTTGGTGATGCAGCACAATTTGACTATTGTTGGAACAATAAAAAAAATAAACGAGAAATACCTAGCGATTTCAAGAAAAAGGGGCGAGTGGTTTATTCTTCTTTATTTGGATTCGGCAAGCATCATAGTACCTTAGTATCATATTGTCCAAAGAAGAATAAAGTAGTTCTCTTACTTTCAACTATGCATAATGATGCTTCAGTAAACGACGCAAAACCGGAAAAATTACCAGAAATTATATCATTTTACAACAATACAAAAGGAGGGGTTGACGTTGTGGATCGCCTGAAGTTGAATTACTCCGTTGCACGTACTTGTTATAGATGGCCACTGCGTCTATTTTTTACTTTACTCGATATTGGAGTTGTGAATACGCATATCATATTCGATGGCCTAAACCCTAACACGAGTCTTACGCGGAGGAATTTTATAAAGTCGTTAGCTTATTCATTATTCGAAACTCAACTAAAGTGCCGAAGCACGACGAAAAATTTGCCCCGAGAATTATCTAACACAATAATGCGATTTGTAACAACACAAGTTCAAGAAATAGAGGAAGATGAAGAAGAAATGCAACCGAAGAAGAGACGATGTATACACTGCCCACGCCAAATGGACAGAAAATATTTTACACTATGCTACAAGTGTAAAAAAAATGTATGCCCTAGGCACTGCAAAAATATTTGTGAAGAATGTATCTGAACATACATATTGTAACAGTCAGCGTGTTTTTTTTTACTAGTTATTATGATCTCATATCATTATCTACTTTATGAAGATTAAACTTTGTGAGAAAAAAGTTTTCCTTGATATAATTTTAACCTCTAATAATAATTTTTATTATAGATTCCCATAAAAATGTATCTCAGCATTGTTAGCATACAAATTGTAAATTTCAGCTTATGGTTTTATGTATTTTTTATTGTTATAAGTTACAGATTTTTTGAACTCGTATAGTTGTCTACTTCATGAAGATTTAATTTTGGTAGATGAAAAGTTTTTGTTGGTTTATTTTTTATTTTTAGTAATTTTTATTATAGATTCCTATAAAAAACGTGCCCAAAAGCTTCTGTGCTGTTTTAATAGTTAAAAAATTATAAACACTTCTTAAATTAATATACGTGCTTTTTATTTCTTTATACTCTAAACTATTTACTAAATCCTAAATTAATTATAAAAAAGCCATAGATTTTATAAAAATCATGTTTATTTTTGGGGATACCTGCTGACCCCACGTGACCAACCCTGTTACAAAAATTGAGCGCGACCAACGGCGGGTTAAGAATTAAAACAGATAACAGTGTAAAGGGTAATGCTCGAATCGCTATTATGATTACGCAAATAAACCTTAACACCAATTATGAAACCCTACGCACTACACATCAGCGTACGCAGAACGCTATATGTACCGTGCAATTCAATCATGCTATACGTTCCGGTCGGTAACCACAAGGTAGTAGTGATTACTATATTGAACATAAAGAGATTATGTAATCAAACAAAGGGAGAAACACAGATACAGATTATCACAGATCATGTTTACCTCAGGAATCATTCAATCAATCAATCAATTCACTAAATATAAATTCGCTGTATAAAGTCGATGTAAAAATATCAACTACTACGTACTTTTACTAATATCGTCCGGCGCGTGTCGTAACAGTTGACGGAGGAAAACTTTATATTCCAGCCTCTCAAAATTTTAAAATTATGTTTAAAGGTTGGTTTTGAGGTAAAAAAGGTTAGATGAATTTTCTAGTTGGTTGGATAAAAAAAAGCTGTGATTGCCAATGGCATATATTCCAGCCTATCAAAATTCTATTATGAAAAATAATATTATATATACATATATATATATATATATATATATATATATATATATATATATATATATATATATATATATATATGGTAGTTACACTTTTTTTATAGGATAAGATTGACAAACGAACGGTCGGCTCGACCGGGGAAGTTTCAAGCTCTCACATAATATCAGCATAAAATTGCAACTTAATGCCTGCTACTGTGTTTTGTATGGTGAGAGTAGAGAACCAGAGACCCGTTTTACTGGAATCGAAGCATTCCATATAAGTCTTCAAGGTGACAACGCATCTGCATTTGATTCTTAATCAAGGTAAGATGTAGATGTCTGTGGGCCACAGCATCAACTTACCATCAGGTGGACTATGTGCTCGTTTTTCACCCTTATTCCATAAAAAAGAATAACTTGGGTAAAGAGCTGGTAGTAAGAAACATCGATTGCACAATTCATACGTGGTAGAGCCACGCTGCAGCTACTATGGATGTAGCATGAATGGGTCGGCTCGACCGGGGAAGGACCAAGCTCTCAGAGAATACCAGCGTAAAATTGCAGCTTAATGCTGCTTTGCTTCGTATGGTGAGTGTAGAGAACTAGAGACTATTTTTACTGGAAACGAGACATATCATCTCAATCCTCAGGGATGACAACGCATTTGCATTTTAATGCTTAATTGAAGATAAATGTAGACGTCTATGGGCCACAGCATCCACTTACCATTAGGTGGACTGTGTGCCCATTTGTCACGCTTATTCTATTTTAAAAAATCCCATGCATTTGTTCATTTTTTTTTCTTTAATTTAAGTACATTGGTGTATGTATTCAAGTTTGTAATGACTTAAAACCTTGATATATAATATTTATAACAATGTTATAATTAAGACAAACGTCTTAATTGTTGGTGTAGTGTTCACCAGAGCTAACGTTGCCAAGAAATTGTCAGTAGCAGCCTGGAGCTACTTACTTTTTAACAATAAATAATAAAAATAATAATCATTTTAATTTCAGACCATGAGTCAATATACAGTTGGCAATATTGTAACAATATTGTTTTATAAGCTTGTTAGTATTACTAGAAGTTACATTTCATTTTAATCCTATGCTTACACAGTGATTTTATATCATACATTTATAATTTACAGATATCGCTCTAAAGATACTGTTACTGCTGTTTCATAAGCGATGTATAATTGAGGCTGTTTTATTGAGAATAATCTTTGGAAAGTGTCTGTACGCGCTTGCGCAAACATACCGGACGCACTACATAAATAAAGTGAAAACTAAAATTATTATCTAGCCCAAGCGCACGTATAGTGACAAGAACGCTAGCTGCGTTTCTTAACTGTAACAATATCTATTCAATGGTAGAATCAACTCCTAGAAAAATAAAGACCTGTAACAATATCTATTCAGTGGCAGAATCAACTCCAAGAAAAATAAAGACCTGTCACCAGCGGCGAGGACCAGACCGTAAATTAGTACTTTAACGCGCTTGGACCTCCCGTTTCGATAGTGTCTACAGCGAGTCATCATTACTATCACACTGTTTTTTCCAAATAATGCCACAAAACGGTCGTTACTCTATCTAGTGGGGACTAGCCTACATTTTGCTTACCAGTTCCGAGGCTGCCACTCGAGAACCTTTCTTCTCCATCGATTGTTGGTTCTTTAGGCCATATGACTAAAGAAGAATCACTGAATAAGGTAGACTGAATCAGAATAAAAAAATCTAATATGAGTAGCTCATATTTATACATTTAAGGTAAACTCTTATCCCCTAAGTTACCACAGCTCAGACTATTTATAGTATATTAATATAAGCTCCTTTTTTATAGAATAAGAGTGTCAAACGAGCACACAGTCCGTGTGATGGTAAGTGGATGCTGTGGTCCATAGACATCTACATTTATCCTCGATTAAGAATCTAAACGCAGAAGCGTTGTCACCGCTGAGGACTAAAATAAAGTGCCTCGTTTCCAGTAAAAAAGGGTCTTCGGATTTTTACACTCACCATACGAGACGCAGCAGCATTAAGCTGCTATTTTACGCTGGTATTCTGTGAGAGTGTGGTCCTTCTCCGGTCGGGCCAACGTGCTATAACCATAATATAGCCGCAACGTGGCTCTACCACGTATATACCCCTTCCACTTGACCGCATTTAGCGTAGAGCGACCATTGATATATTTAAAATATAAAATATGTTCTTTCTTTTTCGCTTCTATATATTTTTATTTGTATTTAGTTATAATTTTTTTTTAATCTTTCTTTATCCTAGTATTATAGGTACACAGTGCTGAGAAAGTTATTTGCATGTTGTATCCTCCTGTAATTATTTGTACCTTTTAGTTCTTATCGCTTCATTGTATTTAAGTAGCATGTAAAGAATGATACAAATGTTGGTGGATCAATAAATATATATATATATATATATATATATATATATACGACGACAGACGATAGAGTTATTTCTGATCGGCTTGACTTACTGATGCTGCGAAGTGATGTTACAGCCCTTCGCACATTCTATCGCCTTTACCACGGGGAGTTCATAGAAAAAACTGCTCATAATAATTCCAGCCACAAAATTTCACCGCACAAATCGACATAATGCGCGATACCATCTAAAACATCAAGATGATTGCCGGTCCACCATTCTGCGATTTACAAGAAGATTTCTTCCTTGTAAAACTCCTTCGTGATACTGAGGCTACCACCATTAATTTTTTCAGATCGATATGGTTTAAGGATCTTTAAGAAAAGAGCCTAATCTTTTTTTAGGCCGCCCGTGGACCTACTGTATCCCCAGTGTTGCAGTTGTTCATGTGTGGTGGAAGTCGTTTACTGTTTACTCGTTTACCTCTACTTATAGGTATTATAAAAATAGTAAATTTGGTTACAAGACTTTCTACGAATCCAGGATATTGCAATCTGAGTAAATACACTTCTTTTGTGTTTTGTTACTAACTTATATGATGCGTAACGGCAAGTATAATACGGGAGTCAGCCTTATTGTTAGACCTTCACGTATATGTGATATAATATTATTTATGTTAATACTGCATCGTACATTTTGAAACACGATTCATGAAACAAGGTAAAGTAATCCATCATATTATTATAAATATTACAGCAAATTCCCCCACAAATCGCATAGGTTGGTAAACTTGTACAGTTCAGAGACGCGGACGCTAAGTCGACACAGTCAGCGAACGGTGTTCAGACAAAATGCGGTGGTTCCTAGTGTTTTGTGTAGTGAGCACTGCTGTCGGTGAAAATGTCACCGGGGTTATCGGTAAGAAACTTAGTTAACCTTGTTTAATAGTTCATATTCTATTAATTAATTTAATACCAAAGCTTTTCAAATTAATTTTTGATTGAAGCCATATTTGATTTTCCATAGCTAAGAAATTTTAATATTCTTTGAAGCGAAACTTCCTTATTGATGTTGTAAAGGAATTAATTACGGTATCAAATACAAAACGTCACTTTATCTTGTAACGTTTCCCCGCCAATGCTGCATAAGTAAAAGAAGAATGATATGTTATAAAGAATATTCACTTCGTACGCGTGTACATAATAACACGCTCAATTTTTTTTTTAAATGAGGGTGACAAACGGACGCGCAATCCGCCTAATGGTAAATGGATGCTGTAGCCCTTAGACATCTTAATCTATCATCAGTTAAGAATCAAATAGCAAATACGTTGTCACCAATGCGTTATTTCAAGTAAAAGGGTCTGTTAAAAAGAAAGGACGAAATAATTTAGTGCCCAAGTACGTCACAGATTAAACAATTCCATGGCATAAATACTAGATATCATTACGATTTATACCAAATAAAAAAATCTAAAACGAAGTTCGACATAACAAAACTAATGGTAAAATTATGAAAATTGTTCAACCAACATCAATATAAATAAAATGAGAACATCATCAATTTATTCGAAGTCAATTAAATACGCATTATTAAATATAACTCAAAAACTACTGGTCAAATCAATTTATATGGAACCACATGGGGAGCACCAGCTTTTAAAAAAAATCTTCAATATCGGTTCACCTAGAAAATAGTTCTGAGGAAGCTCACATAAAAAAAAATTAAGTTGAATTGAGTACCTCTTACTATTTGAAGTCGGTTAACAATATCTAATGAGCTTAATGTAGCATTAGTGCAACTTCATATTCATGTTTCACGTGTTTGGTTCGTTAGGCAAATGTAACTTAGGCAGCTTAATTCTGAAATGAGCACTGCAGCAATACACAAAAAAAAATTAATTTTAATTTGGGATCCGTTATGTTTATAGATACTTTTTTGTTATGAATAGTGGACATCCTAGTGTTAAGATAATAGGTTTGGAAATTAATAAAGACTTAATCCTAGCAACTGATATAGCATATAATATATACTCGTCTAATGTATTAAGATTCATGTAACGTCTTAATACATTTTTCGTTAATATTTATTGCATTCCAATACAATAAACGTAGTACAGCCTCGCTGCAACTATATCTTGGTTGTAGCATAATAGTTCAGCTCAACCAGATCAGGATCACGCTCTCACAGAATATCAGCGATAAATAGCAGCTTAATGCTGTTGTGTTTCATATAGTGAGTGCAGAGAACCGGATATTGGCACCTCATTCTACAACACATTCTACTTTAGTCCTCCGTGGTGACAGCGCATCTACAAAGTGATTCTTAAACAATGATAAATGTATATGGGCCACGGTATCCACTTGCCATCAGGTGGGCAGTGTGCTCGTTCGATTAAAGTAAATCACGAAAAACTCGATTAAAGTTCGTAAGATTAAACTAGTGAGCTAATTGGACTACGTTTGTGTAAAAAATGTGCGTTTAAATGAAAGATTGCCCATTGCCTATACAACCTCATACCCAATATTCCATTAGTCAACTCTTTACGACATGCTAAAGTATATTTTTTATAAAACTCTGCAGTTATATTATGGTTGTAGCACGAATGGGTAGCTCGACCAATAAAGGACAACGCTCTCACAGAATACCAGCGTAAATAAGCAACTGGTGTGTTTCGTATGGTAAGTGTAGAGAACCGAAGACCCATTATTTACTGGTATGGAGGCATTCCATCTTTTTCCTCAGGGGTAACAACGCATCTGCGTTTTGATTCTTAATCGAGGATTAATCTAGATTTCCGTGGGCCACAGCATCCGCTTACCATCAGGTGGACTGTGTGCTCATTTTTCCTATTCTATAAAAGAAAACACTCAGTTATTCTGATGTTAAGTTTGCTATTATAGCCGATGAATAACTAAACCAACTTCAAACAAGAAATCCTACAAATGCGTTTTCATCTTTGAGAACTAAGATGGAATGCCTTCTAACCTGTAATTACACTGTTTCTCTATACCCTTCCGGAACACAGTGGTGCAACAAGTAGTTATTAGAGTGAAAAATATCTAGGAATAATCCCCGGCAGAAGAGAAGTGCTATAACCTTTTTCTACGTGGACGATGGACGATGCCTCCGCATATCCGCCTTGCGGGGGCAAGAACGGGTTATGTCAGACATGCACCGAGTAGAACCAAGTGGTGTTCCACCTTCGCCGCATATTGGCAGGGCCACGGGAACACTTTCGCTTACGTCCTAGCCTAACTACCAACCTACCACCTAATGTACAGTAATAGAGTACATATATATATATATATATATATATATATATATATATATATATACCAAATTAACAACACAAACACAAAATATTTATCAATTTATCATTCCTCATTTATCAAACTTGCGCAATCAAATTATAAAGATTGTACGACAATATAGTGCTAACCAATTTACTCATAATGTAGCGTATGCTGCGTCGATTACTCCCTAATTCACCTTGGTTTTCGAAAGTTAAGAACTCAATTGTTTTTTTATTTCCCTTTTATAGCTTTTCAATCGTATACGCATGAGCTTGCTTAGAAGCATTAGTATGATATTCAAAAAATAAAATTGTAAATACCGCCTGCGATTGCTAACTTTTTTTGTCATTATAAAAAGGGTGTGACGAAGGAGCACACGGTCCACTTGACGGTAAGTGGATACTGTGGTCCATAGACATCTAAATCTGTCATTAATTAAGAATCAACATGAAATTTGTCTCCCCTGAGGGTTAAGATAAAATATTTCCTGTAAAACTTGAATTTTAATTTCGCAAAACTAAGACTTAGGTTAAATCTGAAACCTTTTAATTATAAAAAAACACAACATACGATTTAATTTCCTTTTACTGAAAATCTATGGAGTATGCCGAAATATATATAAAAGAAAATATTATTAAACGATAAAGAAAAATAACAAATGGGATTTCGGTGTTGTGCGATCAAGATCATTTAGAAAAAAAAATATCTTAGTAATATTATGTATTACTAGCGATCGCCCAGCTACGGTTATGTTATTGCTATTAATGTGGCGTTATTTCGTTATCAACTGGAATATAATATAACCTAGTTCACTAATGGCATTGCTTTTTATTTGTTAATGAAGTTAGGTTAAGCCATTTCGAAGATTAGCCCGAGGTGACAGACAAAGAAACAGACAGACGGAAATGGTTACTCATGTCTTATTGGCATACAAGTATTCCTTACAGCCATAATAAATATGCCATACAAGGCAGTCATTTCGATGCTGCAAACAGACGCTACAATTTAACTTATTTGTATAAAGACTGCTGCGTTGGTCAAGTGGTTGTAGTAGTACGACTGTTGATCATGAGGTCCTGGGTTCGAATCCCGAGTCGGGCTAAAAAATTAATTACTGAGTTTTTCCGTCAAGAAATTCTCAGTAGTTGCCTGGAGTCAGGAAATTGGAGGTGTCTCACCCCCGTGCCTCGGAAAGCACGTAAAGCCGTTGGTCCTGCGCCTGATCTCTCTTTGGTTGTGTCGGTTTACCGTCCCATAGGATTATGAGAGTGAGGGAATAGAGAGTGCACCTGTGCTTGCTCATACACCTGGGCACTATAATCCTGTCCTGCGCCGATGGCGAATCTCCATCCAGGCAGGCTGCCGTGGCCAAAATTCGGTCTGGAGGACATTATTATTATTGTGGTATTAGAAGTGTATTCTCATCTGGTTGGGCTGAATAAATATATAAAAGGAAATGATAAAAATACATAAATATATATTTCATATACCAGCACAAATAAATAAATAATACATAAATAAATAAAAACCCAACCAGATGGAGGCCCTCGGCAGGGAAGACCAAACGGCCGAGGGTTAGGGGGAAAGGGAGAGAAACCGGCGGACGATGCGGGCGGTATCGAGGAGCACCGCCTTCTGCATTTGAGCCTGGAGCGGTCCGTCACGGAGTCCCAGCCTCCTCAGATGATCCGAGAGGCTGACTGGGATTAGCCCGTTTGTAGAAACGACTACAGGAATAATTTCAGTCGGCAGACCACCCCACATGTCGGTCACCTCGTGAGCCAGGTCCAGATATTTTGTTCGTTTATCTGTTTCGGCTTTCACGAGGTTGTCGTCATACGGAATGGTAATGTCGACCAAAAATATCCTTGACTGTGTCCGGTCCATCAGCACAATATCAGGCTTATTCGCAAGAATAGTCCTATCTGTGATGATGGCCCGGTCCCAGTAGAGCCTGGCGCGATCATTTTCGAGCACGACTTCCGGTAAGTACTTGTAATACGGCAATTTCCGGTCTACGAGACCGTATTTCAGAGCGAGCTCCTGGTGAAGAATTGTGGCTACTAGGTTGTGCCTGTGCAAGTACTCAGAGTTAGAAAGCGCCGAACAGCCGGAGAGGACATGTCTAAGTGACTCACCGGGATGGCGACAAGCTCGACAGATGTCGACGGTGCCATCCTTTAGGATGTATCTCCGATAGTTGTTGGTCTTAATAACCTGATCCTGTATTGCACAGACAAAACCCTCGGTTTCCCCCGAAGAGGTCACCAAAGCGTAGCCAGTGGAGGGAGGCTACTGCGTCTACGAAAGACTCATGTAGAGCCTTGTAGAACCTCCCGTGGAGCACCTTCTCCTTCCATACATTAAATGAGTTGCTTAAACATTTACTTAGTTTCCGTAAATAAAGACAGTTACCTAATCTTTTGCGAGTTAGGACACTAAACGACATTCTAGACCTAATCCTGTTTACGCCTACTAATATTTCGCAATGAATACTAGGCAGGTATTTCGTAGTCTAACTTTATTAATCATTGAACCATATTCTCTGATTATGTCTTCTATGAGAAAAATAACCAAGCTAATAAACCCAGAAATAAGATACAGTGAATTATTATTAAAAAGTATGCATATAAATAACTAACTTTTTAATAATTAAAAGAAAAAATATAGAGATAGACACGGAAAGAAAAATAAAAAGCGATCTCCTCCATTTTTATAGCAAACAACTTTTTTCTAGAATAGTAATATTTGACTTACGACTTCGTTGACCGGTCTTAGCGGAGACTAGCCATCTGCGCAGGACAGGATTATAGTGCACGACTGTGTGCGCAAACATAGGTGCTCTTTCTTCACTCATAGTCTAATAGGACAGAATATGACATGACTGGATAGAATTCAGGCGACGAACCAACGTTTCTGTGTTTTCTGGCACGGCGTAAAACACAACCAAAAGAATTTCTTAAAAAAAAACAATATCCGATTTTGGTTCGACCTGATCCTAACCATGGATCTCGTGATCAGTAGTCTTGTTTACCACCATTTTAATCCTACAGAAACGTGCAATTATCCCCGCATTAAGCATACGTCATTTTCCGGGCCCATAATACATTTTTTGCAAGTAATTATGTCGTTTCGTTGCTCAAACAGATTAATACATTAACCAATAAAGTAAGGATACTAGAAAAAGGTACATAAACAAATACAAATAGTTGTTTCCATTTCATGATCAAAATTCGACCACAAACGATACTGAACTGCCAGAACCACGGTTGTGACACGTCTCTGCCGAGGAAAGACCACCTTGTCGCGTGGTAGAAACACGTTTCAACTATGTTATTATATATTAAACAACTACTATGTTAGTATATTGAGTCGACTCGACCAGCGTGAAATAGTAGCTTAATGTTGCTGTGTTTCGTATGGTTAGTGTAAATAACCCGAGACTGTTTTTACTGGAAACGTGTTATTCCACCTTAGTCCTCAAAAGTGGGAACTAATGGATGATAGATGTAGATGCCTATTGGCCACTTCATCCACTTACCATCAGGTGCAGTGTGTGTCCATTTGTACCCTTTTCGCATGGTGAGTGTAAATAACCCGAGACTGTTTTTACTGGAAACGTGGTATTCCACCTTAGTCCTCAAAAGTGGGGACTAATGGATGATAGATGTAGATGCCTATTGGCCACTTCATCCACTTACCATCAGGTGCAGTGTGTGCCCGTTTGTACCCTTTTCCTGTAAAAGATATTTAATTAGTTAAAA